ATTTTATGTAATTAGAATATAGAAAAATTAAAAAAAGGTCTAATTTAAAATTTTAATTAGAGGGTCAAATGGGTGGGTTAGGGTTGGTCAGGGTCTAGTGGGTTCTGACCCACTAACATTGGTGGCAAATGGGTTAGTGGGTCAATCTGGGTGGGTTGGTACTCAACCCACACCCAAGCCACCCATTTGCCACCCCTACTGTTAACTGGTACCCATGGTGATGGGCTTTAGGTGATCACCTTAGCTTGACACTCTGAGAACTGTTGACATGTTTTTCATATCCCCTTGTTTAAACCCAGAGAGTTTTCCTTTGATTGCTGCTATTCCAGTCCACGAAAGCTTGCCTTGAGTTGTAAGCTAATTAGTATAACCTTTGGTTCCCCATCTCTCTTATTTTAATTTCTCAACTAAAACGAGAATGGTTCTGTCTTGAAATTGTTGAGAGTTTGCTTGAGAAGGAAGGGTTTCTAGTTTTGGATTTTTGCAGAAAATTTACTTATCAGGTTTGAGGTTTGGACATGTGTTAATCATGCTAACTAACTCTGTTCTTCTCGAAAAAAAAAGGAGAAAGAAAATAAAAAATTCATTTGAGCTTGTACATCATCAAGAAGTCAAAATTTGCAGTGACTAGCCTCACTTTAGGCTGCGTTTGGTTGCAGTGCAATTTTATTTGCACTAGTACAAATGCATGGAAGGGCAAATGAAAAAAAAAATGCAAATTCTGGTTTAACTTTGTTTTGGATTTTACTTTATTCTGCTTCATGTCTTAATTTACTTCATTTGTACTACAATCAATAAAATAAGCTAAAATTTAAAACAAAAATAGGTCAGAATTTACACTCAAATCGTTTACACTGCCATAGTTTTGCATCAGTATAAATTTATTTGCATTGCAACCAAATACAGCCTTAGGTACAAACTTTGAGTTGAGCTGCTCAGTGGAGGATAGAAATTTACTTGCATTTCTGGTTTCTAGCCTCTTCTCAGGGGCAGCAATGCATATAGCCTTCTCTGTCCACGCTCTCTAATGCTTTTGTTATGGATGTATGATTTGATGAGGAAGGAGGAAGTGATTTTATTACTTGGCCTATGCAAATTACTGTTGCGTTGATATTTCATGACCATTGTTGATCAATATAAATGATAGGCTAACTACATGAGTGATCAGTTTTGCATTTCATACCTTAGAATCTAAGTTTTCATTAGAACATCAGCTTTTGAATTTCAAAAATAAAAAAAATAAAAAAAGAGAGAAAAAGTAATAAGAGGAGGAAGGGTAAAGGGAATAGTAGTAGCATCTAGATGAGTTTCCTTTTCAGATTGATACCCTGTACTTCAGTGGGATGAGAAAATAAGGGATTTTTTTTTTTAAGAAAAAAACTAAAATGAGAATTTGAAAAAGATTGGCTTTACAAGATAGTTTGAGGCTTCGAAATTCTAGTTCAGGGAGGTAGAAGACCCCACTATACCTATTTTGGGTTTGGACTTCTGAAGACTTGCTTTTGTTTATGGATCCCCATCGGTTTCCAACTGCCGTTGGCTCTTGAACTATGCTGCAACTTCTGTTAGGGCCATGGTTGTCTACAGAAATAGCAAACCTACTTGACCTTAGCTGAGAGGGTGACTGGTATTCTGATTGTTGGGGGATTTGGTCCTTTGAACATGGGTGCTCTCCTTTGCCTTGTCTCTAATTGGTCTTGGAGAGGATACAAACTAATTTCAGAAACGGGAAGAAGGGGTGACACCTATTACTGTTCCTATTTATCCTTCTTGGTTTGGCTTAGCTTACTTCTTAAGGAACCTTAAACAAGCCATAAAGGAACTGGGGTCCTTGTGTTGGTTATTCCAAATTTTGGGTGATCCAAGTGCCCAGTGAACTCATGGCAGCACAAAGAAGTTCTCTCTATGTACCAACTCTTACATCAATTTATGAGAAAGACTCCTATGGTGGTCATTATGTTAGGGTCCAGGCCAAATGAATGGGTTAAGCTTGGATATAGATTTGGTCAATTGGGTCCGGACATGAGATCGCATCTAGCAGTTGGATCACCGAGAGGTGATGCTGAATTAATGTCCTTAGGAGTTCTTTTTGTTAAGTGATTGAAGGGATTTGGGTTCAAGTCTGGATTGTCCCAGCTCAATTTTTGTGTTGAGATCAATCGTGACTTGATTGTTGTGAAGGTAGAGTCCAGATTCCCCCTTTGGAATAAATGGCTCTACGGGTCTAAAATAAGATGCAGATCCTCACTCTTAGGTGTTGGCTACTGATTTGAGCAAAGTGTAGGGAAGAGAGAGCTGTGTTCTAAATTGAAAACAAATAGTTAGATTAATTCAGACCTGCATAGGAGGTAGCATCCTTGGGCCTTTCTAAGTTGCTTCAGTTTAGTCGTCTGAAAGCTCCTTTAGATGACTAATATTGCCTTAATACTCGTGTTGGATGAATAAAACAATAGACCAATTACATGAAAAAGGTGACTTCATTTCCTAAATGTTTTAATGACAAAATATCTATTGTTAGTGTGAGTAAGAATCTTTAACTTGATTTAACTTCAATTCGTTTCACTATGTTTTTAAGATAAAATGTTGTTACTAGTCTTCCCTCTTCTTTTAGTTTCTTTAATAAATTGAGGATTTGGAATTAGTTTGGTTATGAGCATTTGGTTAGCTTCCTTTATGCCAATTCAAGTATAATTTTCAGGTAACTCACAAAAACACACAAATTTCAACATAAAACAATTATGTACTTTATTCATTTACTGATAAATGTTTATGTATATCAATCTGATTGAAATTAAAGGCATGCACTGTCTAACAACTCCCACTTGCACTTAGGTTCAATTGGGTATTAGGCTCAGTCTCATACCATTCACACGTCCTTCAAATACTTTTTGTGTCTGTGACTTAGTAAATGAGTCTGCCACATTTTCCACTAATGCTACCTTATGAATTTGAATGTCTCCTTTACCAACAATCACCCGTACAATGTGATATTTCCTCTCTATGTGCTTTGACTTCGAGTGGGTTATTGATTCATTGGATTGAGCAATGTCTCTAGTGTTGTCACACAACAGTGGAATGGGTGATGTGCTAGGTGGTACAACTCCTAGTTCTTAGACGAATTTCTTTATCCAAACTGCTTCTTTGGCAGCCTCACTTACGGCAATGTACTTAATCTTGGTCGTAGAGTCTACTATGAACCCTTATTTGCTACTTCTCCAACTGACTACATAGGATCCCAACATAAAGATGTATCCAAATGTATACTTTCTATCATCTATGTTAGGCTAAAAGTCGATATCTATATAACCAACCATTTGTAGTGAATTTCCACCAAAGACAAGACAATAGGCTTTAGTCCTTTATAGGTATTTTAGTATGTTCTTCACGGTTGTCTTGTGCTCTTATTCTGGGTTAGATTAATATCTATTTAATACTAATAACCTTAGCAATGTCAGGTCGGGTGCACAACATAGCATACATGATGCTCCCTATGACAAAGGAATAGAGAACCTTTCTCATGTTCTTTATCTCCTCAGGGTCTTAGGTAACATTCCTTTAGAGAGAGTGACTCCATGTTTGAAATGAATGAATCCCTTCTTGAAATCCTGGTTTTGGACTCATTAGGGTAGCCTACAAATAGGCCATGACTGATTTTGGACTTCAGTTTATTTGCAGTTATCCTTTTGATGTGTTGAACAACCCCATACCTTAAAGTGTCTAATACTATATTTCTTGGCAATCCAAATCTCATAATGAATCTTAGGAATTGACTTAGTCGGAACCCAGTTTAACACATAGATCATAGTCTCTAAAGTGTGCACCCAAAAGGATATGTAACATTGAGTGGATGAGGAATGATTGGACCATATTTAATAAAGTCTTATTTCTTCTCTCTAATACTGTCGTGTAGCCAGAGGAGACAGTTGTGATATAACCCCATTATTCTTTAGGTAGTCCTTGAATTTGTTAAAAAGATATTCACCTCCTTGATTTAATCGAAGGGATTTAATTTCTCCCTAACTGTTTATTAAGTTCATGTCAGAATTCTTTGAACTTTTAAAAAGACTCAAACTTATGTCTCATTAGGCACACGTACCCAATTTGTCTCATTTCAAAGTATAACATTTCGCCACTAGTCGATTTTTATAGTTTTCAATCTTTCCATCAGAGCATTTCTTCCTCTTGTAGGTCCATTTGCAACCAGTTGCTTTTACCCTAGGGGGTGGGTTTACTAGAGCTCACACTCTATTGGTATTCATTGAGTCCATCTCGACTTTTATGACATCTACCCATTTTAAGGATTTTATGTCTACATAGCTTCTCTATAAGTCAAGGGATCTTCCACATTATCTATGGCTTCCACCAAGTAGATTTCTTGATCATAACTGAAACATATATAAGGTTTAGGTACCCAAGTAGATCTTTTAGGTTAGGTATTGATATCTGGAATTTGTGAGTTATCTCCCACTACCCCTGAGCCCACTTCATGAAGAATGACTTCCTAATGATAATTGCTTAGGATGTAGTCCTCTTCTAAGAAGTGAGAATTTTGACTAACAAAGACCTTTTGTTCTCTTGGGCTATAGAAGAGATATTCAATTGAATCCTTAGGGTAGAGTGCAAATACGTAATGACTAATTTTGGGTTCCAATTTATCTACACTTGTCTTTTTGACGTGTGTTGGACAACCCCACACTTTAAATTGTCTGACACTTGATTTTTGCCACTCCAAAACTCATATGAAGTCTTAGGAACCGACTTGTTTCATCAAGTAGATTGCCTAATGCATGTCCCCAAAAGTATATGGGTAACTCTAAGTGGACAAGGAATAACTGAACCATATTAAGTTCGATTTATTCTCTGATACACTGTTTAATTGTGATGTACCAAGAGAAAACAATTGAAGGGTTTTGATTTGTCTCACCAACTTTTTCTCATCTAAATTCTTTGAATTTTTTAAAAGATTCAAAGTTATATCTCATTAAATACACATAACCATATCGAAAATAACCATCAATAAATGTTATAAAATATGAATATTGGTTATGCATACTAACATTTAGAGGACTACATACATCTGTACGCATAAGGTCATGTGTGTTTGTACTTCAAATCTAGAGGACCACTATTCTCATGTTCCTTTAATGGGGATGTGTTCTGAAGTTAGACTATTCTCATATTGTCCATAGGCAAGGAACTCTTGGGATTCCTTGAAGGAGTCAATTGCCTCCTTTCAAGATGTAACCAGTAGCTCATCCCGAGCCCTCGTCTCCTTAGCCCTCTAGTCTCTCTCCTTCTCTAGCTTGGCCAAAAGTTCTTCAATCCAAGCTTGACACTCCTCAAGCTAAGTTTGTCGTTCCTTGATCTAGGCATTTTACTCACTGATCCAGGTTCGCTACACATCGATCTGGGCCTGTTGCTTCGACACCTACATCAAGGCTATCTGATGCCCAATGACCACAGGTCGGGGTCTTCTCCGTAAGGGCTTTATTGACCTCGGCAATGTACCCCTCTTTGATTAGGGAAATGCCCTTGATCCGCTCCAGGTGACTACTGGCTCGTTGGAAGATCCCCTGGGCAATAGCATTGGCCTGAAATAAAATGTCAAGGTCAAACACCAGGGAAGAAGGAAAGGAAAAACATAGGATCTGAACCTTTACCTTCATTATATACTTGAAGATATGGGTGCCAAGGACTTTTAAGGGAAGTTCCTGAAATTCTTCCCAAGACGTGGGCAGAACAAAGCCCCAACTCAGCTCGCAGGTAATCGTGTGGTTATGGACATTGCCGTCGCGATGCACCGACCACTTGTGGTCTCAAATCGGCGTTTTCTCGGGGGGCACATACACGTTCCCCTCACCTCGAACTGTCAAGAACCTAGCTCCTTCTGACGTTATGGAAGATGGGTGAGCTTAGGGAACTTGGGTACCACGGGCTGCAGACATCGACACCTCTTCTATTTGAAGAACTCCCAAAGGGGGAGCCTGCTCGTAATGTGTCTTTTGCTCGGGGTGACACTTGACTGAGTGTAGGCTCTCGAAGACCCTAATGTTGATTAAGAGCCCGTGCACGTGACCAGCCAAGGCAGCCCCCACAACTATTACGAATGCATTCACGGAGAGCTGCCCAAGAATAATCCTAAGATAATTCAGGACATCGGTAATCATGTACGAGAGAGGGAACCTCAACCCTGCCTCATAGTCTTGCTTGTACACGCAGACCTTGTTCTCACTGTGGTGCCACAGGGCCTCGTTTGGTGTGGGGAGCCTAAACCGGTAAGCCTCAGAGATCCCATACAAAAGTTGGATCTTTTGTAGGTCGACAAGGGTTGAGTGAGTAGGAGTAAATGGGTCAGAGTCTAAATCGAGCTGGTTATAAGGCCGCTCGGAGACTATGGCAAGCTACCTCGATTCTTGGCGACCAGAGGAGGTCGAGTTGGGAAGCTCTTCCTACTCCATTTGGATGACCCTATCCACTTCTCTAAAGTAGGTTCACCCAGGACGAAGAGAAAAGAAGATAGAAGAGAGACCAAAGACCAAAGAGAAATTGATCTATGACTCGAGATGCTTAAAAGTGACAAGCTCTCTGGCCTCAGAAGTGAGACCCTTTAAAACGATTGGAATATGAAATGGACCTCCATTTGCCTCCCTATTTATAGGCAGCGATGGTAGGCCACCAACGGCCATGATTACCTACATCCAACTGTTGGGCTTTTCGAGAACTAAAATCATTTTAGCGTGTGGAGTCCACGCGTACGAACTATGCGACCTGTCAAATGGATTGAAACGATGCTTTGCATTCCTACAGATCGATGGATTTCAAAAAAATCTCACAATGAAACACCTGGAAAGAACCGCCTCTCAAGTACTTTCTTCACTCGAATAGATTTACCTTGGCCTCGGAAGTGGGGGGACAAGTGATGGGGGTAAAAGTGACATCCAATAGAATTTAGACACATGACAACTCTAAGAGCGACCATGCCTCTACCTATGAACTCCCAACAACCACCTCGGTCCCACAGAACCTCCCTTGGATACCTAAGGTCCACCTCACTCTAACACAGCTTGATGATGGTGAGTTAGGTTCATCTTAAGGGACCTGGTTACTGTTTTGACCAAACCATTGGCCTGCCAAGTGGTAACTCAGTGGGCCCCGAGCTTCCTCCATGCATCAATAACATGGCGTGTGAACACCTGTACGTGTCCCACTTCAGTTCTAAGTGTCTGCCCGAGCTCCAGGTGTCCTAATTGATTTTTAAGTGTCATGTCAAGCCTCTAGATGCCCAACATCTCTCTGACACGTATCCTTTTGACAAGAGCCCTCAAAGCCTATTTAAAAATTAGTTTTGTATTCATTAGATACTTTTGGCCTCATTAATTATTGGCTTTACTACCTGGGACAGTTCAGTCCTTACTGACTTGCTGGTCAGAGTCCTAAGCCCGGAATTTCACCCCGACTCCTCTGACCTCGTCTTCTTTTACAGGAACCCTCTAACCTCCAAACTGATCCTGAGACAGTCGACTTTTGATCTTCATCACAACCCATGGCAAGATGGGTGCTTAGACTCGAGCTAAAGTTGCCCAATGAAGTAATGACTCAACGAGGGCAAATAGAGTTTTAAACTTGAGGGATAGTTTAAGTAATTACTAGAGCCAAAATAAAATAAAGTAAATAAAAAATTTCAAACCATTGAATCTCAACATATTCGCACATGGAAAAGGATATATGAACACGTAACACTTACATGGAGATTTACAATTGTGACACAGCCCGCTCAATAGTGTAAGGCGTTAATCTAATCCATATTCTATTTCACAACGTGCAATTGTAATTAGGGTTGTAATCGATTAGATGTGGATTGGATTCAACAAAATCTAAATCCAATCCGATTATTGAAAACCTGCATTTGAATCTGATTCAAAATCCAATCAAATTTGAAAACCTCAAATTCGAATTTGAATCGTCAGACTTCTGCTTATAAAAGTTAATTGCTTTTCAACTTTATTATATAATAAATTACTGTAAATATAACATACTTAATTTATTAAATATATAAATTCATAAATAATATAAATATAATTAAATTAAAATCAATAAATATTATAATATAATCAAATCGAATGGAGTCAAATTCGAATCCAGATAATTGGATCGGATGTTGGGGTCCGGCCACGGGTTATCACTGGGTAGAGATGTGGGAAACTGGGAATAGCTGGTGGGTAGCAAGACCGAGCCCCTTCTAAGATTATTTGCATTACGAGAGAAATAACAAATATCTTCTTCCATCTCAACCAACCTCTTTTCAACCACATTTACAGTCTTTGAGGGTCCACCTTAGTGAAATTATTAATTGTGACACAAACTGACACATGGTCAAACCATCACGATCAACATTTCTGTAATTTCACTACTGAAGAAAACAATCAATCATTAACTTTATAAAGCAATCGGATCCTTGTTGAAAAGAAGAGGGGAATAAGAATTGATGGCAAATGTTGCAACACCATGGTAAGATGAGATTTTCATCCTTCTTGCTTTCAACACCCCCATCTTTCTTGCTTTATTTATATTCAGTCAACACCATTGTAAGTAAATATGCAGTGAAGTTTATCTCAAGGAAAAAGATACATACAAGATTTCAAGTTGTATGTCAAGGAATTCATGTTGCCTTCTTGGTGCCAAAGAGTAAGCTATATGAGTAAGTGTTTCCCTTTTTGGCAGCAGCTTCTACTCTGTTCTTGCCAACCTGAAAGACAATTAAATCGACATTAGGATCTTGGATATAATTCCGAAGAGTAGTTAATGCAAAATATAATGTGCACGGAAACATTAAGAACTTCCACAAATAATGGTCTATGGAGTGCCAACGAATGACAGAATGACTGAATTAAGAACTTTCACAATTAAGAACCCTACATGCACGATAAACCATTCTTGTACCCTAAGGCATGATGCACAACACAAGAGAGCACACAACTTGCTCAACCAAGGACGTTTTTCAAATGTTGACAGAACCAGTATATACATCTTTCATATCAGATTTTTTTGGGCCTGTTATTACAAGTTATCACTCTCCATATTTGTTTCTTCATTGGGTTGTTCTTACCTGTCCCTGGACCATCAGTGGGCCTTGGGCATAGTTAGATTTAGTTATCTTTTATTTATATTCAGTCAGCTTATTAAGGGCAGAAATGTAATTGTATTTTTAGTTACATGGTTAATATAAAAGTTACTGGGAAAATCTATGATAATGGCATAGTTGTCAAGGCATTGCTTAGGCGACTAGGTGCCCTTGGATGGAGTTTCCAAGACTGAAACTCCCAGCCATTAGATGTTGCTAGAGCATATCAGCTTCAGATGCTGGTGAATACACTAAAGCAGGAAAATATGCCTCTTGCATTGTATATCTTGAACTTGTAGTCATTCTGGCAAGAGATTGATCATCTAGATATGGTCTAGTGGAAATGTGAGGATGCCAAAACTCAGGCAATTAGTTGAGAAGAATCATATACTTAAGTTCCTTTCTGGACTTGGTGTACAACATTACTAGATGATCTATTTTGACATGTTGTGATGTCTCATTAACTAACTCAAGCATACTCTCTTGTGCATGGTTAACAGAATAGGAAGAAGCAAGGATTAAAGTATCAGTATCGAGTATCATATCGGACAGTTCGGATACAGATACGCTTTGGAAGCACATGGATACGACAAAAGATATGAAAATGCTTGCATATGCTAGGGAAATGCATACAGATCGTATAAATAAGTTAATATCACTAAATTTCAAGCTGAATTAACTAAGAATGAGGTATAAATACATGAGAAATGCACACTTTAATAGGTTCTATGAAGAGAAACATTACAATCAACAAAACCAAGACTCTGGAAGATGTACATATCATACAATAATTATCACTCTATTTCAGTTATTATAATTATAATTTTCAATTTTTATTATTTTTTGGAAAAAATACTATTTAGTATTTTTATATAAATAATCTCTATTTTTTAAATAATAAATATATTTTATTTTTAACATAAATTGTTTATTTAACATATAATTCTAAAATAAAACATATAAATAATTTAAGGTAGATAAAATAAATTATTTTTATACTTTTCAGTTTGTATTAAAATTTTGGGGAAAATTAACTCTTAAATTATTTATTTCAGTTTTATAATTATAATTTACAATTTTTATTAAATTTTTTGGGAAAATTTATTTATTTAGTATTTTTATATAAATAATAATTCCATCTTTTCAAATAATAAATATGTTTTCATTTTTAACATATAATTTATATGTAAAATAAAATATATAAATCATTTTATACAAATAAAATAAATTAATTTTATAATTTTCAGTTCTAATTAAAATCTTGGCAAAAATTAAATCTTAAATCAAGGTTTGAATATGTCATCAAATTAGGGTTCGATATGCCTTAATATCGGCAAGTATCAGGGCATTGTATCCATCGATACACTGTGATACACACCGATACAGTGGAGTATCGTGCTGATACGCATGACTGGCAGCATAGACATAGAGTTGTAGTGTATCCTGTGCCGGTGAGCATGGGTACAGATACAATACACCCCATATCTGGTGTATCCTATCGATACTTTAATCCTTGGGAAGATGGTGATGATGGTGCAGTCTAAGATTTTTCTGCATATACCGCTTCAATTAACCAGAAGGAGGTTTAATGTGATAATTACAAAAGCCTAAATATACATGGGATTTTTGCTTGAGGTTGAATAAACATTTGAAGAGTGCTCAATACAGAAACAACAGAAAGGGAAATGCTAATCTTGTTACCACATCTAAAGAGGATTCTAGTGCTACTCTTACTACTTTTTTTCCTTTACCATCTGATTTACCATTGTCATAGCTTGTTTCTGGTTGCTATGGAACCTAGGGAATAACCATAGAGATTCATGGTTTTTTATTTAAATCCCATCGCCCAAGCAACGCCCAGGTGCCCCCTTGTTGCCCAGCCTTGCCTTAGTGCCTTCATAACTATGGTCAATACATGCATTGACTTAGAGATACACGTGTCGTAGCAATGAAGAGAGTTCTTGCCTACTTTAGGGAGAAACCTGGGCGAGGTGTATTCTCTAGTCATGGACATATGAGGATAAAAGGTTTTATTGATTCAAACTGGACAGGATTGACGACAAGAATTCTATATCAGGTTATTGTATCCTTGCTTCTTGAAGGAGCAAGAAACAGATAGTTGTTGCCCATTCTAGTGTAGAGGTAGAATATTGAGCTATAGTCAATGGAGCATCAAACATGTGAGTTTAAGCCTTACTAGAGTTAGGGGTTACTTGTGGTACATACATGTACGATGTTATACTGTGATAACCATCTATTAATATAGCTCACAACTTAGTATAGCATGACAGAACTAAACACATTGAGGTTACTAAACATTTTATCAAAGAGGGGGTGGTTTCAGGAGAAGTTTGCCTTCCTTATGTAGACACTGACAAGAAATTGGTTGATGTCTTCACCAAAGGAGTTAATAGAGCTAAGCTTGATCACTGTATAGGCAAGCTGGGCATGATTGATCCCTACACTCAGCTTGGGGGGAGTGTTGACAGATCAAACTGATATATATAAAAGTTAGTGGGATCTCACATTGAGGCCCAAGGTTGGTTTGCTCATCACTTCATTCATTCCTTTATCTCCTCTATCTCTCTATAAAAACTGCTTGTTACTTCTTTCTCTTATTTTTCTTTGATTTATCCTTGATTACTTTTTTAATCATTACCTTTATAGAAATTGAAAAACCAAGAGAGTATGAGATGATGCTTGAAGTTTTCTAAACAATAATGAAGCATTAAATGAACTTTTAGCTTTGGTTGGTTAAAACACAGAGAAATGCCAATGAAACATCCTAGAGGAAATTTTGGACTCGCAATAATAAGAACAGATGCAACTTAAAACACATAAACAAAATCAGAAGCAGCATAAGAAAAGAAAACTAGAGGACCTATACCAATGAAGTTGACACGTGCATGACTGTATGTAAAAGTTGTATGATATGGTGACAAGAGTACTGTCCTGAAAAAATAGACAAAATATGCGATACCATAGTATAAATCTTTAGTTGTAGACAATGTTTTAAAACGCGGAGGCGTGACACGGGGCATCCCACTACCTAGAGGTGTGAGGTGTAGTTCAGAACGCAAGAGGCATAAGCCTCCCGATGAAGTGGAAGGGGGGATCTCATTTTTTCTTTATTTTTAATAAAAATCTTTTGTATTAAGAAGAATAAAAATGCATAACATTAGTTGAAA